CCACATCATACAGACAATAGCACAATGAGTGCAGCGGGTGTACCCTACTCCTCCTCCCCCTCCAATGGAGTAGCATCATCCTCATCATCATCACCCTCGCAAATGATGGAGGGTGTCATCTCATTGAATAACAATGATTTCAGTTACGGTGATGAGTTCACACCTCAGTATGCCCTGTCGCCGGACACCTATGATGTACGCCAAAGGACCATCGAAAATATCTGGGATATCACGGTATCCTTGAACATTTTGTACAAGGAGAACTGGACAAAGTGAGTACAAGGCTAGGCCTGGGAGGCCATAATAACTGTAACTTTAACTATTCACCCACCACCCTCTCTTTTTCTCTCTCCCCCACTCAACAGATTGGCCGCCCTGGAAATTGCCAAATTTCAGGACCAATTAATTAAGAGACTGAACGAAGATGCCATGTTGCAATTATCGCATGACACCGATGTTAATGGCCAGACACCGGCCACCGAAGCAGTGTTGCTGTTCCATCAGCATGGCCTGTCACCGCATCATCTGCACCATCATCATCATGAGTGGAATTTTGCCAGGGCCTTTTTGTATTCGCTAACGGTGCTGACCACAATTGGTAAGTTGAGAATGTCACAACACACAACCCCCCCCCCCCCCCCCCCCTCCCCCACTTTGGAAATATTTTTCCAAATTCCCAGAAAATTCGAGTCCTGAAATAAATTATTTCGAGAGAATTTTGCCCACAGAGGTTACGGCAGGACCAAGAAAAAGGGGAACAGAATTAAAAACATTTTTTTAAATAATTTTCAAAATTAATTTAAGAAAAAAAATCATAAAAATTATATTTTGGATTTTTGGGAAATTCGTACTAAAGGGATACGAAAGGTACTAAAATGTACTATAAATTTAATATTTTATTTTGAACAATAATCTAAAATACTGAGAATTAAAATGAGACTAAGTGATGGACAGCAGCATAGATGTAACAAAGGGTTTTTTGGAAATTCCTACTAAAAGCGTACGAAAAGTACTAAAATGACACTAAATTTCAAAAACGGTACCATTTGGTATTATTTGAAGGTATAGAGCCAAATACTTGAAATTTTGTATGGGATTCAAGGTTTATGGGGTCAAGTAAGTTTGACACATAAGAAGGTGTTTTTGGAAATGTGTACCATCTTCGTACGAAAAGTACCAAATTGTACTAAATTTGGTATTGGGTGAAGGGATAGAGAAAAAATTCTGAAAATTGATATTCAGATTACTGATGGTATCTGAACTTGAGATATGGAGGTGGTTTTAGGAATGTGAACTATATTTGTACGAAAAGTACGGAATGGTACTAAATCTGGTATTGGGTGAAGGAATAGAGCTGGAATCCCGAAATTTGATACTGAGGTCTCTGTTGGTATCTGGGATTGAGATATAAAAGTATTTTTAAAATATGTGCTATAATTGTACGAAAAGTACAAAATGGTACTAAATTTTGTATTGAGTGAAGGGTTTGGGCTGGAATCCTCAAATTTGATATTGGAGTCCTATATGTCATAGGCACCCCTCTTCGAAATTTAATTTTTACAAATATTTGAAAATTAAATTTAAAAAACTCAATCTTTAAAATTTGGATTTTTTAGAAAATAATTTCTACTTTTTTTGTCAAAAAAATCATTCTTTTAAAAAATTAAAGATTCAAAGCGTCCTTAAGGTCATATGCACCCATGTTTGATATGTAATTTTTACAAATATTTGGAAATTTAATTTTAAAAAATTAATGTTTGAGTTTGGATTTTTAAAAAAAAAATATATTTATTTTTTATTTTTGTTTAAAAAATATAAAAAATCTGAAATTCATAGATTTTAATAGTCCTTAGGGTCATACGCACCCCTGTTTGCAATGTATTGTTTACAAATATTGGAAATTAATTAAAAAACAATCCATGTTTGATATATAATTTTTACAAATATTTGGAAATTTAATTTAAAAAAAAATAATGTTTGAGTTTGAATTTTTCGAAAAAAAAATATTTTTTTTTGTATTCTTGTTTAAAAAATATTTATGAAAAAACTGAAATTCATAGATTTTAATAGTCCTTAGGGTCATACGCACGCCGGTTTGAGATATAATTTTTACTAATATTGGAAATTAATTAAAAAAACAATCTATGAGTTTAATTTTCCTTTTAAATATTTTTTTTTAATTTTTGTTGTAATTTTTTTTTAAACCCAAAATTCATAGATTCAAATATTCTTTGAATTTTAAAAAATATTTTTTTTTTGTTGTAAAAAACTATTTTTTAAAAATTGAAAATGAATGTTTTCAACGTGTCCTTAGTGTGATACGCACCCTTGTTCCTTTTCCTTTTTATTTTTGTTGTAACAAATATTAAAAAAAAAACTCCGAAATTCATAGGTTCAAAGAGTCCTAAGTGTCATGAGCTCACCTGTTCGGAATGTAGTTTTTACAAAAACATTTGGAAATTAAATTGAAAAAAATCAATCTATGAATTGGAATTTCTTAGAAATTAAATTTTAATTTTTTTTTTTAATTTTTATTTTAATATATTTAATATTTTTTTTATATATTTTTTTTAATATTTAAAAAAAACCGAAATTCAGAGATTTTAAGAGTCCTTACGCACCCCTGTTTGAAATCCAATTTTTACAAATATTTGCAAATTTCATTTCAAAAAATTAATCTATGAATTTGAGTTTTTTAAAAATAATATTTTATTTTTGTTGAAAAAAAATATTTTTTTTAAAAATACCGAAATTCATCGATTCAAAGATTCTTTGAATTTTAAAATATATATTTTTTTGTAAAAAATAATTTTTTAAAAATTCAAAATGCATTGTTTTATCGTATCCTTAGTGACATACGCACCCTCGTCCCTTTTCCTTTTATTTTTGTTGTAACAAATATTTTGAAAAAAATCACGAAATTCATAGGTTCAAAGAGTCCTTAGTGTCATACGCTCACCTGTTCGAAATTAAAAAAATTAAAAAATCAATCTATGAATTGGAATTTCTTCAGAGATTTAAAGAGACTTTAGTCAGTAATTTTTGTTAGTAATTTTTACAAATATTTGGAAATTTAATTTAAAAAATTAATCTATGAATTTAAATTTTTTTAAATATTTTTTTTTTAAATTTTGTTGTATTTTTTTTTTTTAAACCGAAAATTCATAGATTCAAAGAGTTTTTGAATTATTATTATTTTTTTTTTTTTTTTTTTTTTGTAAAAAATTATTTTTTAAAAATTCAAAATACATTGTTTCAACGTGTCCTTAGTGTCATACGCACCCTTGTTCCTTTTTATTTTTGTTGTAACAAATATTTAAAAAAAACGAAATTCATAGGTTCAAAGAGTCCTTAGTGTCATGCGCTCACCTGTTCAAAATGTAGTTTTTACAAAAACATTTGAAAATTAAATTAAAAAAAATTAATCTATGAAATTCATTTCTTAGAATTTCTTAGAAATTAAATTTTAATTTTTTTTTCTAAAAAATAATTTTTAAAAAATCGAAATTCAGAGATTTTTGAGGAGACCTTAGTCCATACGCACCCCTGTTCGAAATGTAATTTTTACAAATATTTGGAAATTTAATTTAAAAAAATTAATCTATTAATTTGGAAGTATTAAAAATTATTTAAAAAAAAACAAAATTTGGAAATTTAATTTAAAAAAATTTATCTATGAAATTGGAAGTTTTAAAAATTATTTAAAAAAACAAAAATAATAGATTCAAAGAGTATTTGAATTATTTAAAAAATATTTTATAAAAAAATATTTTTTATAAAAAAATATTGAACAGTGTTTGGCTTGCTTGTTTGGGATACCATAGTATTTTGTTGTTGCAAAATCGTCAGGCAAAATCCCATTATTGTTGTTTTTATAAAAACAACGTTTGTTTATGAGTGGAGAACGATGGTAATGTTTACCAGGGGGTAAGGCAGGGAATACCTAGGTTTCGGAAAGAGCCACCAATCCTCATCAGTTCCCTTGTTTCTTGTCTGGGATATTCTCCCCAGAAGTTATTTAAAAAATAACTTCTATGACAAAAAACATTTTCTACCCAAGTGACGAGATCGTAAGCTCAATAGAAGAGGAACAAAAGAATTACATAAAACTAAAATTCTTTTGGAAAATCTTCTAAATCTTACAACCGCACTTATAGACATTTACATCTTTCTCCACTTGTTATGCTTTCGTTCAACCTGAACGAAGTAACATAACCATGTAAGTTTGTTTTGTCTGTTACAACAAAAACCCCTTCGTCGACCGTGCCTGTGTCTATTAATAGAACAGTGTTTGGCTTGCTTGTTTGGGATACCATAGTATTTTGTTGTTGCAAAATCGTCAGGCAAAAATAAAAAATATTTTTACAATTTTTTTAAAAAAAATCTACAACAAAAATAAAAAAATATTTTTTTTAAATAATCCAAATTCAAAGATTATTTTTTTAATATTTGTAATAAAAAAATATTTTTTGAAAAAAAATTCCAATTCATAGGAACAAGAGTGCATATGACACTAAGGACACGTTGAACCCAAGCAATTCGAATTTTTAAAAAATAATTTTTTACAACAAAAAAATATTTTTTAAATAATTTTTTTTATTTTCAAAAATATTTTTTATAAATATTTTTTTTGTAAAAAAAAACAATAAATAAACCGAAATTAATAGAATGGAAGTGTCATTGGTGCCATACGCACCCCTGCTAAAAATGTAATTTTTATAAATATTTAGAAATTTAATTTAAAAAAAAAATTAATCTATGAATTTGGAAATTTTAAAAATTATTTAAAAAAACAAAATTTGGAAGTTTTAAAAATTAAAAAAAATAATCTATGCATTTGGAAGTTTTAAAAATTATTTTAAAAAAACAGAAATCATGGATTCAAAGAGTCTTTGAATTATTTAAAAAATATTTTTTGTTGTAAAAAATTATTTTTTAAAAATTCGAATTGCTTGCGTTCAAAGTGTCCTTAGTGTCATGTGCACTCTTGAATTAGATTCTTTTTTAAAATTTTGTTTTTGAAAAAAAAATTTTTATAGAAAATATTTTTTTTTTTAAAAAAAAAAAAACAATAAAAAAACCGATATTAATAGAATGGAAGTGTCCTTGGTGTCATAGGCATCCCAGCTGGAAATGTAATTTTTAAAAATATTGGGAAATTATATTTAAAAAAAATAATCTGTGAATTTGGATTTTTTTTTCCAAAAATATTTTATTATATTTGTTGTAGAATTTTTTTTTTAAATCGATATTCATAGTTTTTTTTTTACTTATATTTCCAAATCTTTTCTAAAAAATATATTTCGAACAGGGGTGCGTATGACATACGGCAATACTCATACGCTGTCATGGGCTTTTGGCCTAATTAGATTTAATCGTGATTTTTTCCATGATTTTTTTATTTCCTTTGAGAAGACATCAATCTTTGAAATGGTGTGGCATTATTAATAAAAAAAAATATATCCAAGATTTGTCTCAAATAAGCAAAGCTAGGTAGATATCATTTGGCATTGCCATGATGGCCATGATTGTTATTTATTTCTTGCCAACTGTCAAGACTGTCACTTTCATTCAATATCCTGAGTCAGCAGCAGCCTT